TTTTAACCCTAAATGGACGGCATTGACTACGGTCCTACTGTAGGAGCCGTTCAGGGAAAAAAAAATGCTTTGCCATGAAAAGATGGGTGTAACTTTTGAAAAGATAGTGATGACGGACCCTGTCAGAAATCTTGAATGAAGTGATGAAGTGCCACATTTCCTTTCCCTGCACTGTTTTTAATCTTTAATGAACTAATACCACTACTAACACTTTGTACCACTGTAAAGCTCAGTGAACTTCCATCACGTCTGCATGGAAGAGTGATTTTATTTTTTTGTCTGTGTTTTTTTTAATCAATGTGACACTACAATAAAACATTTTTTTTATAATTTGCTTTTAAATTGGCTGTTATTGTGCCTTGTAGCTTTTAAACTTGTGAAGCAGTTAGGGGTTTCTGTGTATAATTATATAATACAATTTAAAACTGAGGGTGTATAACTCTGAGGTTGAAGAAGCACTTTTGATAAAATGTACGCGCTGCCACTCGGACATGTGCGGAAATTCAGATCTGGGTCACGGCAACGGCACAGCAATGTTTCAGTTTCAGTTTCAGTTTAATTTATTTATATAGCACATTTAATAACGACAAAGCCGACCAAAGTGCTGCACAGAGAAGTAGAGTTAAACTAATAGCAATAAAATAAAGAAGATAAAAGGAAACACAAGTAATACACAACACTAAATATACACACAATAAAATTGTATACAGCAGTTACTCCAGCCCATAGGCCTTTTTAAAAAGATATGTCTTAAGTAAAGATTTAAAAACCTGAACAGAAGTGGCCGATCTCAAGCAAAAAGGCAAATTATTCCACAACTGAGGTGCTGCCACCGAAAATGCCCGATCCCCCTTAAGTTTTAAGCGTGTCTTAGGTACAGACAGCAACAGAGTGTTTGATGACCTTAAAGACCTGTTGGTCTGATGATGGGAGAGAAGATCAGAGAAGTAGTTTGGTGCCAAGCCTGACAGGGACTTATAAACAAACAGTAATACCTTGAACTGGATTCTGTATTCAATGGGGAGCCAGTGCAAACCAGCCAAAACAGGAGGAATATTTTCCCTCTTCCTAGTCCTTGTTAAAAGTCTGGCCGCAGCATTTTGGACCAACTGAAGGCGAGACAGACAAGATTGAGTGACCCCTAAATACAGTGAATTACAGTAATCCAGTCTAGATGAGATGAATGCGTGGATAACGGTTTCTAAGTCCCTGAACGAAAGAAAATATTAAATTTTATATATAATATAAATATAATATAATTAAATATAATATAATATAATATAAACATTTAATATAAATGTGTATTGCAAAGATTAAAAAAAAATAAATTCAAACCTTTTTAAAGATACAGGTCCTGGCAGACTTGGTGCCCTGGTGCCTCGATGGACAGAAAATGCCATGAAAGTGCTCTCAAGGGTGTCTTTAGAGTAGATAAAACGTGATAGTGCCCCTATGTAGATAAAATGCAATGAATTGGCCCCTAGGATGGAAGCTTCAAAAACATACAGTTAGTTTCTGTTATCACTCACATTACAGTAGCTACGAACAGCTTCTCTCTTTTTTTTGTCACCTTACCAAGAAACCACAAAGCATAAACTGCACCATATCAACTATTACACACATTTTTTAATCTGTTTATGTGGAGCGTCTGCTGTACAAGTCCCTGTCAATGAACTGTTACTATAGAAACGATAACGTATTAGAACGAGCGCTTTAATATAAACCTGCTGCACTACTGTCAGAGCTGCTGTTATAGAAAATTAATCAACACCTTCTGACCAATCACAATCCAGAACTCAGCAGCAGCGTGGTGTGTTTCTGCACAGAGAGGCAATACAGTTGAAAGAGGCTCCAAGTCCAAAAGTTCTTAGTTCAGTCCACAATTTTATTCTGTGATAAATCAGGGTTCTTTAATCGCACACAGGAGCTGATGGTGTTCCACACGGTTTCTAACACATTCACTTAATGTGACTCTCAACCATGGGTTTAGATCATATCAGGTTTCATTTACCTTGTATTACCTTTTATAAATCATTTTTGAGATGCATCACTGAGCTTCTCAACAGTGCTGAGAGGTTCCTCCTGGGGTTCTTTGGCTACTTAGAGGTTCTGCTTAGAACCGTGTGTGATTGGGAGACACTGTTGTGAGACTGTACATAGAACCTTCAGAGGTTCCCCCAGAAATAGACATATACAGTATATTTCTAAGATGACACACTTTTAAAACAGACTTGTGAATCCCATTCTCCCATTTTACCAATATTCATCCCAAGCACAATGAGGGCGGAGCTTAGATTAAACATGTCCAGCCAATCACTGTATGAATCACTACTATCATTTCTTTTTAGTTCTTCAGATCAACATAGTGTTTAATATAAAATACCAGCTTCAAATATGCAATATAATCGTTTAGCAAAATAATCCAAGCTGAAGGGAGACAGAGTGGTGTAGCTGTCTCACCGTATGTTCACGCTAGCAAATGACAAGTCTAGTTTGTGTAGCATCCGCTGCCATTCTCACTTGTAAGCATGGGCTGTCCAGCATCTTTTTTTGTTCTGATGAGAAAGTCGTTGCTATATACATCTTCTAAAGCTAACTAGTTAAACACAAAATGTCACAACACACTTTTCTGAGATATTGCAGGTACTGTTATATCTTTTTCTAACTTTTTTTAATAGCAGTTAAACTGCAACTCTGGTAGCCTCTGAGCTGATGTTAAAATTTTGTACTGAACCTTTTTATTATTTAGAATTTATTCAAATGATTAGATGTTTCAGTTTAAAGTAATATATTTTTGTAGATATAAAAGCTTTTCATAGTTTCTGTTTACTGTGGATATAAAAAGTCTACACACCCTGTTAAAATGGCAGGTTTTTGTGATGTAAAAAAAAAAAAAAGAAACTAAGTTAAACCATGTTGGAACATTTTCTAACTTTATTGTGAAATTGCAAAAATCAAGTGACAAACAACCAGAAATGTTTTTAAAAAAACAAAAACAAAAACAAAAAACTTCCAATACCTAACTTGCATAAGTGTGCACACCCTTTTATAATTGGGAATGTAGCAGTGTTCAGAATCAACCAATCACATTCACACACAAACTAACTAACTGTTAAATACTAATTAGTGTACACCTGCCATCAATTAAGTACAACTGTTCCTATGGGATTTTCCTGACATCATCTTGGTAACATCCAGCTGGAAAAGCCACGGGCTGCAAAGAGCTTACAAAGCAGGTACAGGATCTCAATGTTGAAAGATAGCAATCAGGAGAGGGATACAAAAAAATTTCCAATGCATTGGCTATACCATGGAAGATTGTAAAGACAGTAGAACAGGACGTCCCTCTAAAATTGATGAGAAGACCAGGAGAAAACTGGTCAGGAAGCCTGCCAAGAGGCCGACAGCAACATTCAAAATAATTGCAGCAATTTCTGGCAAGTACTGGTTGCTCCCTACATGTGACAACAATCTCCCGAATTCTTCATACATCTGGGCTATGGGGTAGGGTGGCAAGACGGAAACCTTTTTTTGACCAAAAAAAATATCCAAGCCCGGATAAAGTTTGCACAAAAATACGTCCAATCTCCCAAAACCATGTGGAATAATGTGTTATGGTCTGATGAGATTAACGGTGAACATTTTGTCCATAATACCAAAAGATATGTTTGGCATATATATATATTAAAAAAAGCACATCACGAAAAGAACACCATCCCCACGGTGAAGCATGGTGGTGGCAGCATCGTGCTTTGGAGCTGCTTTTCTTCTGCTGGAACTTTGGTGCAAAACCTTAAGGCTTCTGCTAAAACACTTATGATGAAGAGGAATTTCACCTTTCAGTATGACAATGAACCCAAATCCAACACATCCAAATCAACGAAGGAATGGCTTCACCAGAACAAGATGAAGGTTCTGGAATAGCCCAGTCCAGATCTAAATCCAGTCCAAAATCTGTGGGGTGACCTGAAGAGGTCTGTGCACAGGAGATGGCCAGCCAATTTGACAGAGTTAGAATGGTTTTGCAAGGAAGAATATTGGCAAAATATTGCTGAGTCAAGATGTGGAAAAATGGATTAACTCTTACCCAAAAAGACTGAATGCTGTGATAAAATCTAAAGGTGTTTCAACTAAGTATTAGTTTAGGGGTGTGTACACTTATGCAACCAGGTTACTGTGCATTTTATATTACATACATTTTAAAATTTTTTGCCCTGAAATGATTCTTACTGTTTTTCACAATAAAGGTAGAAAACGTTCATGACATGATTTATCTTGGTTTCATTTGTTTACATCACAAAAAGCTGCCATGTTAACAGGGGTGTGTAAACTTTTTATATCCACTGTAAATGCAGCACTACTGTATTGCTGGCAGTTGGTTAGCAAACCTACTGTATATATCGTGATACAGAATGTGTATCATAAAAATATCTTCAAGTATTGTGATATGATAATTTTGTCACATCACCCACCCCTACAGGTAGGAAGTAAAGATGACTGGGGAACTGAAGACATGTTGGACCTCATGCGTGATCCACTGGTTCAGTCTGAGGAATCTGAAATCGCGTCTCAGTGTTCACGTGTGGAGAAATTCGGGGGAAAAAACAAACAGAAAAACTAGCATTTACACCATTTCAGGTTTAAGGAGAGTAGAAACAGTGTATTTAATCACTTTCTAATTATCATTACCATTAATATTATTTGTAAAGTGTTAAATTTGACACTTTGTTGTGCGCCTGTGTAATCTTTATAGATCAAAGTATTAATCTCTTTTTTTTTTTCTTTTGTTTTTTTCCAATTTTGGGTGAAATTTTTCAGTGGCTTCTGTAATAAATATGTTTAACTCATGCTAATTATACACCTGTCTAATGATAGCTAAGTCGAACATACAGTACACTGTTAGATTTTAATAAACTGTTAGTAAACAGAATAAACTGTTACAGAATAACTGTAATAACTGTAAACAGAATAAACTGTTAAAATTTATTAGATTTTATAGGGGCGGTGGTAGCTCAGTGGTTAAGATGTTGGCCTACTGATCAGAAGGTCATGAGTTCAATCCCCAGCACCGCCAATGCCCTTGAGCAAGGCCCTTAACCCTCAATTGCTCAGTTGTATAAAAATGAGATAATTGTAAGTCGCTCTGGATAAGGGCGTCTGCCAAATGCCGTAAATGTATTTCACATTAATGAACTCAAAATATTCTGATCTAAACCTTCGCAGAAAGCGAGAGCGCGCTGCAAGAGCATGTGAGATGGAGGGGAGTGGGCGGGGCTTAAAGGTGGTATCATTTATTATCCTACAGGTAGGAACTAGTAGGATGACATCTCCAGGGTCTCTGGTTTGATCGTGAGCTCGGGTTACTGTCTGTATGGAGTTTCACACGTTCTCCCCGTGTCCATGTGGGTTTCCCTCGGGTTCTCTCCAGTTTCCTCCCACCTCCCAGACACATGCCAGGCTACGATAAACTGTTCCTAGGTATTGAGTGAGTGTGAATGTGTGTGTGATGTCCTGTGACTTCACTATTTATTGTGTCATTTAAGCCAGTCCATTCAGTTGAACAGTGCTGTGATTGTTCAGGAATTGAATTTGACACCCTACACATCCTGCAGATTATTGAACCTGTTTTATTTTTTTTTTCCATTTTTGTTTATGAATCCTTCACCCAAAATTCATTTAAAAATATCTAAAATACCCCTCAATTATAAACCCTAATGTACAAATCTAAAAATCATGTATTTGTCAAAATCACTGAAGGCTTCAAAATCTTGTGACTGCTTAACATTTCTGCGTTACAGTTTAGTGTTTCTCGGCGCTAACACACTGGATTCACGCTAACAACAAGAGTGCGTGTGCAGGAAAAACACCAAACTGTGTATTACATGAGAACTCCAGAACTACAGCGATCACAGTGATACTTCTGCTTCACCAAGTGTTTAGAAATGAAACCTCTATAAAGTAATAAGCATTTCTATTGTCTCAATGCAACTGTATGAATGAAAAGGCGACCTGGTGCAAAGCATTTCTCATCTCACAAGCTAGGCTTCACTGTTAACCATGTAAAAAAAATCATCATAAATGATAATCGCCCAGAACTGATGTTCACGCTAGCAGATGACAAGTCTAGTTTGTCTACAGGATGTGGGCGCGTAGCGACGGCTACTGTTCTCACTCATAGGTGGTTTTTTTTTGTTCTGATGAGAAACTGTCGTTGCTATATACAGCTTCGAAAGCTAACTACTAAAACACAGATTCTCACAACACACTTTTCTGAGATATTGCATGTATCGTGATATCTTTTACTAACGTTTTTTTAAAAAAAAAATAGCAGTTACAAACTCTGTAACGCAGCTGTGTTGATGTTAAAATTTTGTTTCAGTTTAGAGTAATTTATTTTTGTAGATATAAAAACTTTTAATATTATTATTTTTTTTTAAATGCAGCACTACTGTATTGCTGAACGTCAGCAAACCTGTATATATCATGTATCATAAAAATATCTTGTAAAAAGTATCGTGATATGATAATTTTGGCACATCGCCCACCCCTACAGGTAGGAAGTAAAGCTGTGATTGGGGAACTGAAGACATGTTGGACCTCATGTGTGATCCACCGGATCCGTCTGAGGAATCTGAAATCATGTCTCAGTGTTCACATGTGCGGAGAAAATGAGTAAAAAAAAAAAAAAGGAAAACTAGCATTTACACCATTTCAGGTTTAAGGAGCGTAGAAACAGTGTTATTTAATCACTTTCTAATTATCATTACCATTAATATTATTTGTAAAGTGTTAAATCTGACACGTTGTTGTGCGCTTGTGTAATCTTTATAGGCAAAAAAAACTGAAAGTGTCTTTTTTTTTTTTTTTTTTTTTAAATCAATTTTGGGTGAAATTTTTCAGTGACTTCTGTAATAAATATATTTAATCAGTGCTAATTATACACCTGTCTAATGATAGCTAAGTCGAACATACAGTACACTGTTAGATTTTATTTCACATTAATGAACTCAAATTATTCTGATTTAAACTTTTGCAGAAAGCGAGAGTGCGCCGCGAGTGCAGGCGAGAGCATGCGAGATGGAGGGGAGTGGGCGGGGCTTACAGGTGGTATCTCAGCGAGTTGAAAACACCTGAGCGAATCGTTCTGGATTCATACGTCGATTTGCTTGTGTCCTGTTTCATTGTGGAGAAACAGACTTGGTGTATTTTTGCGTGAGAACTCATATTAACGCACGCTGATGTTAAACTGATGAGCTCCTACGCAAAAAGGGTTTTTGGTAAAATAATACAGCGTAATCAGAGCGACATCACTGGATATCATGGCAGTGTAATATCGTCTACAGACGATTAAACGATCGTTACGTCACACAATCCTTTCCCAAGCGTTCACTTTGATCCAGAAGTGAACCAGTTACGCAGATGTGTGTAGCGTAATCTACTCCATCTCTCTCAGACTCCTGGTTTTATTTTATCATCATTAGTTTGGGTTTAAATCCAGTCTGTCTTTTCTCCACTGGGTTTAAAGTGAAAGCCGTCTGCTTTGCTTTACACCAGGCCACCTATTAGCATTAGCATGCGTTTAGCTGTTATACCACTTTTCTACGATTCTACAATCTCTGCTTTCGTATGATTAGCATTACCACTACCTGAGAAATGCGAACACAACTTTGTTATTAGGGATGCATCGATACCTGTTGTTTTTTTGTTTTTTTTCCAGAGTACATTTTTTTTGGTACTCGTCGATACCGATACCAGAATGAGTAAACTACTTAGTATTGATCAATCAAGGGAACATTTTATTTAGCTGTGTGTATGCTGGTTGCTGCCGTGTGCCGCTAGCGATGAACTCCTTGTGCTTTTCATGTTTAAGATGTTTAGAGTGTAGTTTTAATAGAGCGCATGCGGAGCAGTATCAGCTCGCACGGTCATTATACATGAGCTCAATATGCTGTATCCTAAAGGCCCTAAGATGTTTTATCAGGTTACTTGTATTGTAGGGAGATGCCTTAGTTCCTCATCTTGATATTTTCAAACAGCACAGTTCGCACAATTTCCTGTCGTCTGTTCGTTAGCGCAACAACGTACAGAAGGATGACGTCACACCGTATGATCCCCTGGTAATGGACATTTGTACCGGAGCATTTCTTCTTACGAGTAATTCAGCACAGTATCGGACCGAAACCTGATACCAGCGTCGGTATCGATGCATCCCTAATTGCTACAATGAAAGAAGCTGGTTTTGATGAAGTCTCGTGCTGAAAAGTAAGATCTGTGATCCTGTAATTAATACTTTACTTTGAGTGCAATGAACCGTGAATCAGTCTCTGAGGTAATTCCACACATTTTTTGTTTTTTTTTTAAAACAATGTACTGGTTAGTTGAGGTATGTCTTTGGTTTAGGCCATGCAAAATTAAACAGCTTGATCCTGTTTAAAAAAGAAAGAAAGAAAGAAAAAAAAGAAGAAAAAAAGGAAAAAATCTTCTTAGCTAGGTTTCCTACATTAACAGCTTAAAAAAAAAAAAAAAAGCACTTTAGTGTTGAATAGGCATGTGACGATAATCAGTTATACTGGACATCTCAATTTATCGTCAGCAGAGATGATCGTCAATCTGTAATATTTTTATTTAATTCAATTTGGAAAAAAATTTTTTTTTACAGCTGTTACTTTTATTATTATTTATTATTAACGGTCAACTAAAATTTTCTAATCCTGACAGGGCTACAAAACCGGTACTTAGCTACCTGAGACGGTGCGTGAACTTGTTCAGGATCACCGAGTTTACTGACCCACGTAAATATTTTAGGATAAAAATATATCGCTCCGAAATGATACTAGCTAGCTAATGTTAACTCGGTAGCTACAGTTTTAATTTTATTGCTAAATAAGCATATCTCTTGTGGGTCAACGACTCGACGAGCTTTTAACTTTGCATGGCCTTACATTCAGATAAAGGTACACCTTACACGCTCCCAGGGATTGAACGTAGCACCAGGGAAAAAAAAAAACAACAACAACCGGTTCACTGCACCTCTCCACGGATGCAGGTGGAGGAAAAATGAACTCAGTGCAGCAGAGCGGCTGTTTAGCAGCGAATCCCCGTTCTACGTCTTTTTGGAGGAAAGGTCCACGGCTTTCATGATAACACTGGCGCGAGACGTGGAGCTGGTGCTGAGGTCGAAGGTCAGGGCAGGGAGGAACGGGCGCCAGGGCTCCATGTCGTAGCTGATCATGGGCGAATCCTCTCGGCAGCTCGTCACCCAAAAGTTCGTCTTTTCTGAGATGAACGAGCTCGATTTATCCAGAAGGCTGGGTGCTATCCTGAGCACGGAGGAGCAAGATTGTCTCGAACCGACGGACAAGTCCTGAGGCTGGAGGTGGGGAAAAAAAATACAGATTATAAATAACCTCTTTAGCTTCTTTTAACAGTCATGTCTAATAATCTGAGTGTATCACCAGGAACTGTTTTCATTTTTATCAGTTATTAAAACAGAAATTGTAGCGTTGTTATAAATGATGGGTTGAAAAACAACTGCTTTAAAGGGCCTTTGAAATTTCTTCAAGACGGCAGCTGACAATTCATTTGCACAATTAATTCAGTTTATGAGTTTTACTTGTTTTAACACACCTTGAACATTTAATAAGCTAATTAATGAAGGTGATTGAGAGGGAAAAACCTTAAATGTGCACTGCATTAATAATCACAACTCTTCATTATTTTGCTACTCGTGCTGTTACTCACATAAACATCAGCAGTTGTGTGACAGTAAAGCAAAATAATGTTAAATAGAGCAGTGAAGATTCATCCATTCCGAGACATGACAACGTCCATTTTAAGTGTGGCAGTGCAGAAGACTGTGACCGCACTGTGCGTCTATTTTTAATTCTGTCTTTAATGCCTCCTTTCGAATAACACACTGCGCAGCTCTGAAGTGAAGAGGGGAAAAACACGATCAAACTGAAAGTACACGTGCACAGCAGAGTCACTCACACACTGCCCAAGAGAACTAAAAACTAAAACAAATAGCTTTAAACTTTAAAACAAAACACACTAAAGAAATTTCTAAAGTAAAAA